AGCTGGCTGGTTCTGCAAAAGAGTCTTGGTCTAGATGTTGTCCATTCTTAGAGTTATGTCTGGGAGAGGTATATGAGCACTATCCTGTGTGTATGTCAGGCACTATCCTGTGTGTATATCAGACACTGACTCAGTGGTACTGTTGCCTTGAACAGAAGAGACAGGAAAAGCGAAGAGAGAAGTCATGGTTTGTTTAAGTTTATTCTTGCACTGCTATAAAGAAATACCTGAAACTGGGTAATTTATAAATAAAACAGGTTTCATTGGCTCATGGTTCTGCAGGCTGTAGAGGAAGCATGGCTGGGGAGGCTTCAGGAAATTTACAATCATGGCAGAAGGCAAAGGGGAGGCAGGCACATCTTCACATGGCCAGAGCAGGAGGAAGAGAGAGAGTGGGGAGGTGCCACACACTTTTAAACAACCAGATTTCATGAGGACTGTATCAGGTGAACAGAATCAAAGGGGGAAATCTGCCCCCATGAACTAATCACCTCCCACCGGGCCCCACCTCCAACACTGGGGATTACAATTTGACATGCGGTTTGGGTGGGGACACAAATCCAAAGCATATCGTGGTCTATGTGAAATGAGTGCATACCCTAAATGTAAATTGGAAAATAAAGTAGTGCTACAGAGACACACTTAGTTGCTAACTCAGCTAGTAAAAAAAGTACTTGAACATTCACTCTTTTCAAAGTAATCTATGACATGTCTCCGGTTTGGAAGCCCATAGATTTCGGAGATGAGTGCAATGTCTTTATCATGGGCTACAGTGGGTGCCCTCTCTGGCCCATGCCTGTTTCACACCACAGCCCCCCGGTCACCTCCTGTGCCCATCCTCTCTGGTGTTCTCTCAGATCCCACATCTCAGACCAGACCCTCTTATGGAACACTATAACTTTTCTTGATAGTACTCACTTCAAATGATTAATGCTATGTGGAACATTGGTTAACATTGTCTTGAAGCATAAGATATACTCTACAAAGTGTCTAATCTTGAAAAACTTGTACATGTGGATAAATCTGAGGAGCTACCACCCTGATCAAGCCGTGGAACGTTTCCAGCACCCCAGAAGACTCTGTTCCTGCTGTTTAAACCACTAAGTTTGTGGTACTCAGACACCTAGTTAGTAGTTAGAGGTGTTCTCGCCACCACCACCCCCACCTCAGTGATGCAGGTGACCTGCCAAGGAAGCCAGAGCATTTCTCAGCAAAGCTGCGCCATGCCTGGAAGGAAGTCTGTGGGGGCCACAGAGCTGTGGGTCTGGCAGCCCCGCTATAACACCAGAGTGAGTTAGCCACCAGTGACAATGTTTGGGGGCTGTGGTGGCACCTAGCATGCTAAACTCACATTCAGAACATGGTGGAGGCTGCTTCCCTTTTCTGCTGGCCAAACTTCACACAGATCCTCTTGTCAGCCCAAGCAGAACCACCCAGAGAAGGGGATTCTGCTAAACACAGTTTCCATTTAGCTAAGTCGCCACTGTACCGACCACCACAGGGGCATTGTTTCTGCAGAGAAGCTCTTTCAATGTTTTGCGTGGGGAGCATACACGAGGCTCCTGGTGCCCTGGTCAAAGATGGGAGACAGGATGGAGCTCTGGTCAAGAGTATGTGGACCTCTACTAATCCTTCAGTTTGGGGCACATAACCTCATCCATGGCCTCAACTCTGACACATGTTCCAGAGTTGGGATTCTGGCCTTCTCAGGGTCTCCAGAGAACAATTCTCCGGTTACTTGTGAGAATCAGGGGGTTGGTGATGCAACTGCAAAGGACGGGAAAGATCAGGGGTGGGTCCAGTGGCTCTAACAGAGGCTTTCAGACTACCTCCCTGTTTTCAGCCCTGCCTAAGCCTTACTGCTACCTGTGCCTCAGCCCTGAAGCTGTCAGAGTTCTAAGCAGTGAATCCCTCTCTGTCATTAACCCCACTGGGCTCCAAGGTGTCTCTGCATTCTCTCCTCTGCAATGCCAGATACCTGTTCTCCACCTTTTATTCTACTTCCAAAAATTTGTTGACATTTTTCACTTGCTGGTGCGAATTTTTATCCACTGTGGTCTTTTCACTTGTTCTCATTGTCCTTGCAGGTTACATATATTTAATAATTTTCCTCACACTTTGGTTGTGTCTCAGAAGGAAGTAGCAGTCAATAGATACACCCAACCTACCATTTTAAACACAAGACTTAAAACATTTTTTTCTATATGTTTTTGGGGTATAGGTGGTGTTTGACTACATGAGTTAAGTTCTTTAGTGGTGATTTGTGAGATTTTGGTGCACGCATCACCTGAGCAGTATACACTCACCCTATTTGTAGTCTTTTATCTCTTGCCCGCCTCCTAACCTCCCCCGCAAGTCCCCAAAGTCCATTGTATCATTGTTATGCCTTTGCATCCTCATAGCTTAGCTCCCACATATCAGCGAGAACAATGTGTGGTTTTCCATTCCTGAGTTACTTCACTTAAAATGATAGTCTCTGCAAATGCCATTAATTCATTCCTTTTTGTGGCTGAGTAGTATTGCATTGTATATATATACCACAGTTTACTTATCCATTTGTTGATTGATGGACATTTGTATTGGTTCCACAATTTTGCAATTGCGAATTGTGCTGCTATAAATGTGTGTGCAAGTATCTTTTTCGTATAACGACTTTTTTTCCTCTGGGTGGATACCCAGTAGTGGGATTGCTGGATCAAATGGCAGTTCTTCTTTTAGTTCTTTAAGGAAGTTCCACACTATTTTCCATAGTGGCTCTACTAGTTTACATTCCCACCAGCAGTGTAGAAGTGTTCCCTGATCACTGCATCCACGCCAACATCTACTGTTTTTTGATTTTTTGATTATGGCCATTCTTGCAGGGATAAGGTGGTATCACATTGTGGTTTTGATTTGCATTTCCCTGATAATTAATGATGTCGAGCATTGTTTCATATGTTTGTTGGCCATTTGTATATCTTCTTTTGAAAATTGTCTATTTATGTCCTTATCCCACTTTTTGATGGGATTTTTTTTTCTTTTCTTACTGATTTGTTTGAGTTTGTTGTAGATTTTGGATATTAGTGTTTTATCAGATGTATAGATTGTGAAGATTTTCTCCCACTCTGTGGGTTGTCTGTTTACTCTGCTGACTGTTCCTTTTGCTGTGCAAAAGCTCTTTAGTTTAAGTTCCAGCTATTTATTTTTGTTTTTATCGCATTTGCCTTTGGGTTCTTGGTGAAATCTCTGCCCAAGCCAATGTCTAGAACGTTTTGCAATGTGATCTTTTAGAATTTTTATAGTTTCAGGTCTTGGATACGGCATCTTAGATTTTTGTATACGGCAAGAGAAGAGTATCCAGATTCATTCTCCTACATATAGCTAGTCAATTATCCCAGCACCATTTGTTGAAAAATGTGTCCTTTCTCCACTTTATGTTTTTGTTTGCTTTGTTGAAGATCAGTTGGCTGGAAGTATTTGGGTTCTTCTCTGGGTTCTTTATTCTGTTTCCTTGGCTGATGTGCCTAGTTTTATACCAGTACCATGATGTTTTATTGACTATAGAGTTATACTATAGTTTGAAATCAGGTAGTGTGATGCCCCCAGATTTGTTCTTTTTGCTTAGTCTGGCTTTGGCTATGCGGGTTTTTTTTGTTTTTGTTTTTATTTTGCTTCCATATGAAGTTTTAGAACTGTTTTTTCTAAACCTATAAAGAATGATGACGGTATTTTGATGGGGATTGCCTTGAATTTGTAGATTGCTTTTAGCAGTGTGGTTATTTTCACAATATTGATTCTACCCATCCATGAGCATAGGATGTGTTACCATTTGTTTGTGTCATTTCTGATTTCTTTCAGCAGTGTTAAACGCAAGACTTTTTTTCCACTGATTCTTTAACCCAGAGCCCCTTGGCTTTGTTTCCAACAAACTCCTGGTGTAATTCTCCACCTCCTAATTTCCAGGTCACTAGACTCTTTCTAACCATCACTTTGCTAGAACTTTCTGTATATCTGGCCTTGCCCACACCCACACCCCTGTTTTCTGCTCCTACCTGGTGGACGCTGTCTCCTGTATCGGGTCTCCTGGAACCCCCTGATCACTCCCTCAGTTTCCTTTGCTGGCTTCTCTTCCTTTTCACTCTCCTTAAATGATATTCCCTATAGCTTAATCTTTGTATCTATTTGCATTCTCACCATGGTTTTAATGATCATGTTTACAGAATGATTCACAAACCTATATCAATCAGGACTCTTTGTCTCAAGTAATAGTAACCTGATTTCAGAAAGAGAAACATAAATTTGCTTTGCATGCAGAAAGAAGACCGAGGCATCCTAAGAAACATGAATGACAGGAAAGCCTACCATATGCTGTCTTATGTTACTTCTCTGTGTTGACCAACTACTTATACTGAAAATGATGATACAGAAGGAAAGAGAATTGTAATTCCTTACTCATCAATAAGGTGAGCAATGTTGGTAGAATGTGCATATATCGATTAAGATGAAAACAGTCGAGTAACAGAAACCTAATTCAAATTTGGTTAAGAAACAAAGGGAGAGGTTATTGACTCATTTATGTAACTCAGGACTCAACTGAGATGCTCATAATCTCTACTCCTTGAGAGGTTTGTTTTTGTCTGTGTCTCTCAGCTCTGCTTTTCTCCACATTGGCCTCATTCTCAGGCAGTCCCTCTCTACCTGGTTATAAGTCCAATGCTCTATGATGTCATGGTCCTCATGTCTCATCATCCCAGAGGAAAAGGGTGTCTCTTTCCCCACAGATGTAACCAGGTTCCTGTGGAGGACACGGCTTTGCTAAGCCTGCCTGCCTTCTGTGTTCTCCTCTGGGCCTGAGTGTAGAGGGTGAGTCCACCTCCCCAGAACCATGGAGACTGAACAGGATTACTACAGAGCAGCAAAGAAGTGGGGCACCAAAGGAAGGGTGGGTTGTGGGAGGGATGGAAAGGGGAAGGAGATACTACATTTATTTTGACAATTTGAGGAGGTCTAGATTTAGGACATCAGGGCTGTCATCCTGGTTCTTTGGGTTTCTTGTCTTTTGTCTGTATAATAGGAAGGTTGGAATTCTAAGGCCCTCTGTCCACCATCATCTTTCTTTAATTCTATGAATAATGGACACATAAAGCAGAAGCTTTTGAAGGTGCCTCTGGGCATAGTCTGAGGGGCAGCAGAGCACAGTGGTTAGGAGCGTGAACTCTGGAAACAGATGTGTCATTCTGTGTGTGTCCATCATCTCGGAGTCTGCTCAGTGGGTGTAGTCTCACAGAGCCCCAGGCTCAGAGAGCCTCACACTTATTTTAATGCTCTGCTGTCACTGTCTTGAAATTCTCGACAATTTTATGTTTGAACTTATGTTTTGCAAGTGAATTCTGACAGACATTGGAGCATGAACGTGAGTAGGGAAGATAAGCACAATATGTTAAGCTCAATAAGAATAATGGGGTATCTGCTGTTCCTTGCTACCTTATTTCCTTACAGAGTTCACAACACCTTGTGAACACAGAATTCTGGCGGACCCACAATACGTGGGAGTTCAGTGAGACTTAAAGAGTAAAAGGTGAGCGTGGCATATTGGCATATCTGCATATCTACCACTGACTTTTTGCTTGGGCCAGAACTTGCTTTGAATGCAGAAAGAAGGCCAAGGCATTCCAAGAAACGTGAATGACAGGAAAGCCTACCATACACTCTCTCATGTTACTTCTCTGTGTTGGCCAACTACTCGTACTGAAAATGATGACATAGAAGGAAAGAAAATTGTAATTCCTCACTCACCAAGAAGCCCAAGGTGAGCAGTGTTGGTAGATTGTGCACATATCAAGTGAGATGAAAACAGTTGAGTTGGTTTTGCGCAGCATTTCTATCATTCTGGAGAGAGTGAAATACACACACATGAGCAACAAAATAATGAATTGTGAAATTTTGATTATTCTGCATGTGAGTTACATGTTCTTCTATTTGCATTGAAAACACATTGCACAACATAAAAATGAATGGTACAATTCATACAATGACAAAATTAAATTTTTTATTAAAATAACATTAAATGGCAAATTAAAACATCATAACAAGTTGAGAGAGAGACTTAGAAAGAAAGGAAAAAAGCTTTATATTTTCGTACCTTTAATGGCACTTCTTTCCCTGCTTTTGGAACAAAAAGCCTCACATTTTGATTTTGCACTAAGCCCCACAAATTATTTAGCCTCCCCCTGAGTCAGCAAATGACTTTACCTCTTGGTGATTCTGTTTCCCTATTTGTAAAGTGGGCACAACCACAGCAGTGTCTCCATTATTGGACTATTGAAAGAATGAACAGTGCTTAGCATTCAGTAGTTGCTCAATAAACATAACCTTTTATTATAAAAATGAGTTAGTATAAAACATATATTTATGATGTAGAATAGTCAATCTTTTTTGTTTGTTGGTTTGTTTTTGAGATGGGGCAGGGTGGGTCTCACTCCTGTTTCCCAGATTGGAGAGCAATGGCATGATCATGGCTCACTGAAGCCTCAGCCTCGGGGCTCAGGTGATTCTCCCAACTCAGCCTCCTGAGTAGCTGGGACTACGGGCATGCACCACTATGCCTGGTTATTTATTTATTTATTTAATTTATTTATTTATTTTTGTATTTTTAGTAGAGACAGGCTTTTGCCACATTGCCTAGGCTGGTGAATTATTAAATCTTAAATTTCCCTCGATGGTGACTTTCTGTAAGCCAAACTTGATAGCGAATTCCCCTCTCCTATACTTTTCCTATGTTGGAGTAACTTGAATTTTTCACGGTAGCTTCATTAATAGGCTCACTTAATTTGCTACTTAAATGATGCCACTGGTATTAGCAGAATACTTTATGTAGTCAGCAGTAGAATAAATAAAGTCAATAAAAATCTTTTAGGAGGAGACTATTGTGGAGCTATCTTTTTAAATTCCAAATAAAAACTGAGGTAAGGATCAAGCTATTGTTTATGTGAAAAAGCAGAAAAGGACACTTTCTGCTTCTCAACAACAGATGGCGACGTAGCTAAGCAAATAGAGGACATTGTTCTCGGAGAAAATTCTGTCTTCAAGTGTGAGGAAGCAAAGCTATAAACAACATATGGAAAACAATGAACATTTTAATTAGGTGTTAATAACTGAATATTGAATCCTTGTCTTCCACCTAACTCACAACAATGTTATGACAGCTAATTAATAAGTGATTGTAAAGGAAATGATTAATTATTTACAGTAATAATTAGAATAGCTTACATGCTTGTAATCGTAAAATGGTTTTAAAAGTAGACAGATGCAAAGCAAGTTATTATTCTGTTGTTACAGAAATATTGCGGTGCCTCTTTCGGGATGCTTCCTATTATCATTCTGCATTGTCTGGATTTAATAAGCAGGCACCATCATGCATTTTTTTTCCAGCAAGTTTCATTTCATCCATGGAATAGAAAATCATGTATGTGTTGTTTTTAAAGGATTTTGTGTCATACTTATTTGAAATTACATACATGGGAGTACACATGAAGGCCTACCCATGTGGGGGGAACTTTTTGGAAAGATATTAACCACAGAACGAACCAAAACAAAACCCTGGACCAGAAGAATAAAGTCTCCCCCTAGAGTCTCTGTTTGTAGCATCTGATTCTCCTATATAAAATCAAAACTAAAAAGCAACTATATAATCCCAAACTTCTCCTCCTCCGCCTTCTCATTCCATATTTCAAATCTCTTTGAACTGTCTCATGTCTTCAGGATATAATGAAATCCCTTGCTCTGGAAGGAAGCCACAACAGATATATTTCAAGACCTTTCCCTTTCCTTTCTGCTGGTAGCAGAGCTAATGCAGTTTACTTATTAGATGAGTCACCATGGATACTGATACACTCAAGCCAAGTCTACCCTAGTGAGGGGAATTGGAGAATTGCGGCAATTATCTCATAATTTAAATAAACAAAGCTTCCCTCATTTTTGTTTCGGCTACCTGAATTTTTCAAGTGAATGTCTAATTTTAGTTTTGAATTATTAGAGGTGGTTCTTGCCTCAACCTTCTTATTAGCTAGCAGAGCTCTGGACTGCTTCGCGGTGAAGTACTTTAAGAATGTGCACCCAAGGCAAATGTATTCTGTGCTTTCTATTTTATCATCCCAAGCATTTCTACTTGGCGTTTGGGGAAACAATGTGAATAACTCAAGTCCAGGATGAAACATTTCTGGAAGGCAGACAATATTGAGATCTGGAAATGGTTGTTTGGAGAGCCTAGATATTTCCAATCAGACAAAGACATTCATAATACCACGTCCTTCCGGACAATATAGACCCCAACACGTTTTGTGTGGATCACATGTTTCTTGGCTGGCCCCAGTCCAAGACACAACCTGTACCGAAACTTCCAACTGGGAGTTTACGGCTGATCCTGGCCACCTCTCTTAATCCCATCTTTCTTCTCAGACCATGTCCCAACCTTGCCAATGTGAATTCCTCCATCTTATTACCCCTCACTTATTGCAAGTGAACATTCTAGGGAGACAGAGGAGCTTTGCAAGTTTAAGTCATGGCTGACATTTCCGGGTCCTAAAGCGTCATGTTGTTGTTATTTAATACCTAGTTTCAATGTCTTAATTACTCAGCACCTTTAAGCCACAATTGTTTGGCTTCAAATAGGACCTGGGTGATGGTAGTTGCTAAGGTGTGAGCCCAGAATGACTATGATCTGCATTTCTTTTCATACTGTGCATTTTCGAAGACTGACTCTCAATTTTCAGCTTTTGCCACTGCCTGTAATATGTCTTGCTCTATGTGACTCAGCATGAAAGGCTTGTCTGACAATCCTATCTCTAATTTCTTATCATTTGCCAGCAGGAGATAGCCATGTTGCCTGTTCAGAGGAGGAGCATCTGTCTGATTGGACAGCATGCTGTGGGTGGAAAGGCTAAATGTCGGTAGAAGTGGACGCTGGCAGTTGACAGACCTGGGTTTGAATCCCATTCTTTCACTTCAGTCATGTGCAATATTTCTTACCTTCCCTGAACTTCAAATTTTATTTCTGTAAAACAGGGATAATAATACATATCTGGCAGAATAGTGATTAGAAATAACTTGTGTAGGCCTGGCGCGGTGGCTCATGCCTGTAATCCCAGCACTTCAGGAGGCCGAGGCGGGGGGATCACAAGGTCAGGAGATCGAGACCATTCTGGCTAACATGGTGAAACCCCGTCTCTACTAAAAATACAAAAAATTAGCCGGGGTGGTGGTGGGCGCCTGTAGTCCCAGCTACTCGGGAGGCTGAGGCAGGAGAATGGCGTGAACCCGGGAGGCGGAGCTTGCAGTAAGCCAAGATGGGGCCACTGCACTACAGCCTGGGCGAGCTCCATCTCAAATAATAATAATAATAATAATAATAAAAAATAATAAATAAAAAAATAACTTGTGTAAAGTGCCCGGCAAAAGGTGAATGCTTAATAATGGTAAACATTGTTAACACTGCTCTTTATGCAACAGGAGAGAAGATATTTCTATTCTTTTGCTATTATGCCTCATTCCCCTTTCTCTACCATAGCAGGACTTTACCCCTCAGTTACTTATTTTCCAAAAACATATTGTGAGCCCAACACTGTAGGGAACACAAATAGCATGTGGTGCTGTGACTCTGTCTTTAATCAATTACACTCTTGTGAAGAAAAGACAAAATGGATATGCATGAAACACAACAATAATAATATCTAATATAGATTGAGAATTTTACTCTGTGACACATTTGTGTTAATGCTTCACAAATTGGATCTCATATCATCATCACAATCATCCAGTCAACAAAAGTATTGTTGTCATCCCAATTTTACAGAATAGAAAAACCTCAGAGAGGTTAAGAGTCTTGCCCAAGGTCACACAGCTAATAGTGGCAGAATCAGGACTTAAACTTGGGCCATCTGACTCTGGAAACTGAGCCCTTAACCACACTGTTTAATTGTTCACATGGACAGTATGAAGTGATGCAAACAAAGGGCTGTCAATTTTCAGAGGCTGGACAGACCATAGTAGGGTGGAATTTACCCAGAACATTTTTTGGAGGGAGTGTACCTTCATCTGAGTCCCATGAGGCTTTCTTTAAAAGGGAATGGTTAACAGTAAAATATAACAGTCACAAGAAGGTGAATTAGAAGTTCCCCATGAAACCACATGTCCATCATTTTTCTGCTTGGCTTAATGCCAGGGCCTGAATCTTCTCAAGTAATTCACGGCTGGTTCAGGTTTCCCCAGTATCCTGTGATCTCATTTCTCTTACATCAATCATTTGGACATCATTGTTTAAGGAATCAAGGGATTTTTGTGCAGGAAGGGATGCCAGGCGTCCCGTCATGACCTCGAGGGAGAGGGTGGCAGTTGCCCAAGGTGTCACAGCTGCCCCAGCTAGGAACTGGGTCTCTTGACTGCCAGACTCATTCTCTTTCTGCTTTGACACATTGGGACCTTGCCTTTGATGGCATCAAGGATGGGGGTATAGGTCTTACACAAATTCTCCCAGTTCTGTTTCAAGTGGTTATAGCACATAGCGCTGTGCAATACTCATTTCCTCATTGGTACTTCCTTTCTCTGTATCAAGGCAGTAAGAATTTCCCAAAAGACGTTATTGGTCAGTCTGCATCTCCCTCATCAAAATGCTACTCTATTGTCTTGTGGAGAATCAAACACAATATGCTGGGGGCCCCTTCTCTCCTCCCGAGAAGTTGTGCTTCCCCCCAAACGGGAAGCAAAGCATGTTCACACTCAAAATCCTGAGCGTTTGACTAGATTTTAAAGTGGGCTGTACACCCTCTTCCTGCCACCCAATATGTTATGGGTTTGGCTGGAGACGTTTTTGTTTTGAACTAATGTCTTCATTT